GCCTAGGGTATTCACACAATGAAATGTGAATAGTTTATTTACTCGTTTATCTACAGTTTCAATTCCTTAAAAATAATCAACTGTACTTCAATGTAGAGATCTTTCTAGGCTTTTTAGGCAGGACATAACCTTTCTTTACCTGATCTTCTGCCAAGTTGTCCCATGGATTCACATCACCAACACTGCCCACATAGCTAACATCAAGTCAAATAATCCTATCCTTATGCTTCATTGTCTTTCCTTGTTCGCTTTCCAAACACCAACATCCATTCCTAAAGTATGAAGAGAAAGCTTTAAAAAGATGTCTTCACTTTTTAAGAAAAAAGGAGGTTTATTTTATGTAAATTTTCTCTTAATTTCTCTTTATTCTCTAAAAGTAGCCATTGTCACTTAAAGATATTTAAGCATCAGTTGATTTTAAATAAATTGGAATTTAAAGCACTCTTCTATATCCTATTAATTCATTAACAAAGAAAAATTCCTTTAGATATATATGTGGACTTGTGTTCAAATAATTACATAATTGCATGGAATGGAATCTGAAACAATAACCACCAAAATGTGGACAAATTTCTGTTGAAAAAGTCATAGGAAAGAGCAGATAGTAACAGACTATCACATTTCCTTCTCAAACCTCTAGATTGTTGGAATTTTGATCAGTAATAGTGAATTTACATACTACTTTGAAAATAAAAATAAAAGGGCGGTTTCCGTAATTGTTTTGTTATTTAGAATAATACAATAATAATGTTGATTTTTCCTCAGTGTTAAACCTAGAATATTGCCCAAGTAACCACAGAAATTTTGGAGACTTTAAGATGTTTCTCTATTCTCCATTAAAACCCTACAAACTATCAGTCCAAGGCTGGCTTCTGTCATAGACTCAACTGGCACACATGAGTGACTCATTCATCTCCCTCTGCCCGTCCTCCCCTGCCCACTCATCCTAGACATCTGGCTTCTGCTGGGACTAGAAATGGCACTTAATTCTGAAATAATATTTTCCGAATTTTAAGCAGTTAACCAAAGAAATGTTTTAAAACTGTGCTTAATTTCTATCATTGGGGCTTTTTCATTGTACTCAACAGGTATGTCTTTGACTTTGACCAAAGGCGCACTTTCGGGTGATACTGTCAGTTCAGAGAAACACGGAAATTAAGGAGCCCCAAAGGAACATCGTATGAGTAGCTTGAAAGTTTCCTACCCCAGAGACTACTCTCTACAGTAAATATATGCCTCACACTCTCCCATGAACACTGGTTAAAACAGGAAATGGATTATTTGTTTCAGCACAGTATAATTTTATTTCAGATTCCAGTTAGCACAAGAATGATGCTTAATTCTTGGAAAAAAATATGGTGTCTCTCTGGTAAGAAGATAAAATCTATACTCTGTAAATTTCTTAACTTCTCCCCTAATTCCCTTTCTCTTTCACATTTAAGACAACTTGACAATGTTCTAATACTATTGTTCCACACACATTAATTAGGATGGTTTAGAATTGCAGCATTGATTCCAGAAATAGCAAAGGTTTCTTCACCCAGAAACTTTTGGGACTTCTGGGCTCCTGACAACATCACAAAGAATGCCTTCTATTCAGTCTACAGCTCCCCAAATTAAGGAAGCCCTGATTAAGGAAGTATTTATGTTCTCAGAGCACCATAATTGTCTACAGTTTTCCTGGATTTAAGGGACTATTCAGGCATAGATATGTAACCAATTAACAGGAATGTCCAAACATGGAAAAAACATAAAATTTAACTCAAGAAGACACCTTATAGAAAATATGGAGGGAAAGCTCTCAAAAGTTCTGACAGTCAATAGCTATGATGGAAATGGAATTATGCTCTTGGAACTGAACAGGAGGTGCAGAATGTTACTAAAGAAGAAGGACTGGAGTCTAAGACATGGGAGGTGCACCTAAGTCACACTGTATCTCATCTCTGTGACTTCTAACAGGGTACACTGACAGCATCAGAATAATAAGATCATTTCATGGGGTTATTGTGAAGATTAAGCATGACAATATATGTGAAAGTTTATAGCACATGGGAGGTATTCAGAAAGAGAAAAACGAGATACAGAGAGACATAGTTTTCATGTGACCCTGAAATTAGTGGTACAAGAAATAAAAATGGGAGCTGTCTCATTTCTTTTAATTTTTCTGTTATTTTCAAAAGTTTTGATTATCTTCAGTGAGTTCTGTTTTAAGTCATTTGACCTTACAATTATATTATTGGAATCTGGAGGTTTATCTCTTCCACCTAGAACATGCTTGAAAATTTATTAAAATGGTATTATTAATATGCCTATGAATATGATTAGCAGCAAGACATTGTCATTTGCAATTCAACTAAAATATTATTAACAACATTAAACGCAAGTATTAGGTGGGAAATAGGCACAGATGTTACTTCTTTGGTATAACCAATAGCACCTAGAGTCTGTTTCTTCTTTATCTGAAAATGTTCAATAAATTATTAGACATACTAGAAAAAACTAAAAGCCCCTCCTAAATCTAGGAATTTCAACTCTGTTATTTTCATATCTAGTATCTGATAACTCTAGTGAATTTAAACATCAACATTTCAATTATAGACAACAGTGAGCATAAACACAGACTGAATTAGACAAAAATCTAAAGCAATTAGTCCCAAGAACAGTAACAGAATTATTATAGACACAGAGAATATTTTTCATACATTTATTGGTCATTTACATTTCTTCTTATGTCAGTTACTTTTTGTTAGGACATGTATTCTTAGGAAGAGTTTAATTATTTTTCTTGATTCATAGAAATCATGTTTCTTCTCAACCAAACTAAATTCCTCTAAACCAACATTCTTTCCAGACACTAACTCTAAACAAATCCTCTATTAACTTTGTGACTTTGGGCATTTACGTTTCCTGAGTTGATTTTTCATCAATAAAATAAGTTATCATGGTCATGAAAGAGTGATTAAGTGTTGAGCATAGCTCTGAGTTAAACATATAATGAAAATAAAAATACTATATTGCTGGTTCCCAGATTTGATAGAGGTCTGTGAACAGCAGTTATCAAGAATTAGTAATGACTGTTAAGATAATTGATCCGTTGTGGCAAAGCCCTTAGATCCAGAAATTGTTTTTAGAAAGAAAGAGGGGAAGTAAGACAAGGAAAAAAAAGAAAAAGGAGAAGAAAGGAAAGTGGAGAGAGAGAGAAATAAGTAAAAAGGGAGAGAGAAAAAGACTATGAATCTATTTCCCAATTGATAGGACTGTTAGATTTAAAGTAATTAAGAAATAGCAAAAACAACTTGTTTAAAGACAAAGTTTATTTAACTTGTTGATAAGAAATCTAATTAGTTTGCAAATGCCATTTACTCTGCTATAGCAAAAGAAAGTTTTCTTCCAAAGATTGTTAGGAAGAACATAACATACTTCAAAAATGATTGTTTCTCAGGCTAAGGCATATGAGACGGAATGGAAATAGCTCCCTATGGACAAGTTGGAAATGGACAAATTTACCTAATTTTGAAAATGTGTAACCAGAGTCTCAGGTCCCAAGGACCTTTTCATTTGTAACATTAAAAAATCTTTTTCTCAAGTAACTTGATATACACTCAGTCTCCCAGAGTTAATCACAGACTTTGGAACATTTTAGACCTTGCAGAGATTCCTATATTTTAGGTTCTCAGAAGCCATCTTGTTTTGAATCAGAAACTTAACACCAGATTATGTATTTTATGTTCATACAGCATGTCTGCCAAAATGAGCTTTCAAACACATTTGAGTTCAATATTCAAGACTAAACCTAAGGATTCATTGTGGCTGAGATATACTTCAGGCTGAATAATTTCTTATGGGTTACATAAGCTTTACATTTCATGAACAGAGAATATCTCTTCCTGATACTTATGATTTATTCTTTTGGTAGGCCCAGAACATTTGTTCTTTCTACGATTGTTAACCACCTTCCAACTGATAAGTTTATTTACTCTAGTACTTAGTTAATTATACTCTTTAGTGAAAAAGTTTTGTCATTTTGTCAAGATTAGCATTACTATCTCTTTTTTTAAAACTGACTCATTCATTTATTCATTAACAAAAAAAATTATTAACCTTCAATAATATGTTAAATATTATTTTAATTTTTCAAATTTACATTTAGAAACATATTTCATAGAAAAATTTATATATACATAGAAACAAATAGAAATATATAGAACATGTATATATATATATATATATATATATATATATATGAAAAAATTTACAGAGAAATAGAGAAAGAAATTTTTCTACCATATATCCCCTAAACAATAAAATGTCATTTAAAAAAATGTTATTTTATTTCGGGTTCTCAGTATTGAATTGATCACAATTCTTGATTCTAACATACTCTTACTATTTTTCCATGCCAATTTTGTGCATGTTTGCTTGTTTATTTAGTAATAAAATTACACCTATGAAAACATGATCTAATATAAGATCTAAACAATTGATAGTAACATACAACTAATTGCTTATGTGCTCATCTTCATGCTGATACCTCACACCTGAGGTTACTTACCTCTTACATCTCTTTTTGTATATAGTTTTATCATTTATACAAATTCCTGCAAAGTATACTGTTGTTTTCCTATTGCTTTTTATCCTATAAAAATTATGCCACATGGATCCATTTTGGACTTTTTTTCCCACTTCATTATTGTATCTTACTAAGATACATCTGTATCATTTTATATACCTATTCTTTGTTGTAGTTCTGAATAACATTCCATTGCCATGTTTATGGACATTATTGTAAATTTCCCCTTATATTCAGAACAGTTTATCTTGGGCATGTAAATGCAAGGGAAATTGCTGGGGCATAGAATGGGTGAATACAAAATAAGCCAAACTGTTTTCTAAAGTGATATCAATATACAGTTCCACGAACAATGTATAAGAAATCCTCTTGATTCAAATACAGTTTGTTCAGAAAATTTAAACTCATGTCTTTTCTTCAGATGAACTAAATGGAGGAAGGAAATAAGTCTGTGGGGTCTGAATTTATTATTCTTCGACTTTGTAATTCATGGGAGCTCCAGGCCTTCCTCCTAGTGATATTTTCTTCACTTTATTTGATCACCATTTTAGGCAACATCTTCATTATGCTCCTAATTTTTGCTGACCTTCATTTCTACTCCCCTATGTACTTCCTGTTAGCCAATCTTTCATTCATTGACTTCTGCCTTTCCTCAGTAACTACCCCTAAAATGATCACAGACTTTCTCAAGGAAAACAAGACCATCTCCTTTGGAGGCTGCATGTGTCAGATTTTCTTCGGACATTTCTTTGGAAGGTGTGAGATGGTGCTGCTTGTGACAATGGCCTACAACCGTTTCATAGCCATCTGCAAGCCACTCCATTACTGCAGCATCATGGATAGACAAAAGTGCATCTGGTTAGTTTTGATATCATGGATCATTGGCTTTGTGCATTCAGTAAGTCAACTAGCTATAATTATAAAGCTGCCCTTCTGTGGACCCAGGGAATTGGATAGTTTTTTCTGTAATATTCCATTGGTGATCAAGCTAGCCTGCATGGACACCTATATTCTAGAAATGCTGGTAAATATTGACAGTGGAGTACTAGAAGCTATCTGCTGATCTCTTACTCTTACATTCTGTTAACTGTCTGCCTTCATTCCAAGGATGGGGCATCCAAGGCTCTCTCTACCTACACTCCTCACATTACTGTAGTGGTGTTATTTTTTGGACCCTGCATCTTCATCTATCTGTGGCCACTCAGCATCACCTGCATGGACAAATTTCTTGCTGTGTTTTATGCAGTCATTACACCTCTCCTAAATCCAGCCATTTACACTCTAAGAAACAAAGAGATTAAAAATGCCATTAAGAGATTATGATGCTAGCATATGGATTTCTTGTGGGTATTTTAGGGTCTCACATAGAATGAAAGGGTCTGAGGAATAAAACCTTAAATAAAATAATTACTATTTCTGTTTGTGTGTGTATTCATATTCTGATTTTTTTTAGTCTTTTGTATCTCTACACATTAGTTTGGTTATCTATTGACTTACCTTTGCATCTACTCCTCCTTTTTTCTGCTGTGTCCAGTCCATCTTTAAGCCTACTTAAATTCATAATTTCTCCTGTTTCTTTTTCAGTTTTTTCAGAACCAGTTTTTCACTTCTTTCATAGACATTCCATTTCTCTGTTAAAATTCATTGTGTTTTTTCCATTTTTCAACTTTTTTTAAATGAGTTATATTATACTCTGCTAATTTCTTTTTTTAAGATATCATTAATATACACTATTATGAAGGTTTCACAAGAAAAACAATGTGGTGACTACATTCACTCCTATTTACCAAGACCTCCCATACCCCATTGTAGTCACTGTCCATCAGTGTAGTTAGATGCCACCGAGTCGCTACTTGTCTTCTCTGTGCTACACTGTCTTCCCCGTGACCCACACACATGATGTGCACTAATCATGATAGCCTACAGTCCCTTTCTCCCTCCTTCCCCACCCACCCTCCCTCGTCTCTCCCTTTTGGTAACCGCTAATCCCTTCTTGGAGTCTGTAAGTCTGCTGCTATTTTGTTCCTTCAGTTTTCCTTGTTTATTTTTTTTTGTTTTTTTGTATCATTAATATACAATTACATGAGCAACGTTGTGGTTACTAGACTCCCCTCATTATCAAGTCTCCACCACATACCCCATTATAGTCACTGTCCATCAGCATAGTAAAATGCTGTAGAGTCACTACTTGTCTTCTCTGTGCTATAATGCCTTCCCCGTGCTACCCCCTGCCTTATGTGTGCTAATTGTAGTGCCCCTTATTCCCTTTATCCCTCCCTTCCCACACATCCTCCCCAGTCCCTTTCCCTTTGGTAACTGTTAGTCCATTCTTGGGTTCTGTGAGTCTGCTGCCATTTTGTTCCTTCAGTTTTTGCTTTGTTCTTATACTCCACAGATGAGTGAAATCATTTGGCACTTGTCTTTCTCCGCCTGGCTTATTTCACTGAGCATAATACCCTCTAGCTCCATCCATGTTGTTGCAAATGGTAGGATTTGTTTCTTTCTTATGGCTGAATAGTATCCCATTTTGTATATGTACCACATCTTATTTATCCATTCATCTACTGATGGACACTTAGGTTACTTCCATATCTTGGCTATTGTAAACAGTGTGACAATAAACATAGGGTTACTCTGCTAATTTCAACAATTGAGCCATTTATGGTCTCCTTCTACTGTTTCCTCTTAATTATGAGTCATATACCATGGTTTCTTTGTACGTTTGTATATTCCATAATCATTTTATGATTTTAGACGTTGTATAAAAGATCATGTATTTATGACTCAATATGTTCTTCCAGACACTATTTACATTTTCCTCTATGAGGCATAAAATTTTAAGGGTGGATCACCCTAACCCAATCAAGTAATGTGCCTATTTGTATCTGGATTGTAGTTTTTGTAAGAGTCAGTGCTCTTTTGGTATGTACCTGCTTCTTGGATACATCCTTTGAAGGCTTCAATTGTAATTCTAATGGATCTCTTTCTCCTCAGTCCGAAAGATTTCAGTTGATTCCATTTTGCCTTTCAAAACTTTTGAGCTTAGAACTTTAGTATTCTCCTTCCTTCTCCTGCTAACTTCAAAAACATGGCAAATTCCTCAAGCAGAAATCTGGCTTTACATTTGTCCTGTGTAACTTAATGTAACCAACAGAATCCATTACAAATACAAATATAGAGCAACAAAATAATCATTAGCAGGAAAAATATGAAGTATTACTGATTATATAATTCAGAAAGAATTTGGGTTCACAAATAATCAGGACACAGATTCCCTTCATAGTTTAGCAGTGAATTTGGCTGCCTTCCAACTATAAAACAAAATGTAAATTATACTAGTTTCACAATTTCTACAGATTGTACACACACATATTTGGGACCCATGTCTTGAGCAAAGAAAGAGTTATACAAGACAAATTATTAGAGAAAAATTGTCAACAAACAATTTGGAAGAGTAGTTGTTGGATCATAATAATAATACCAGTCATGGAAGGACCCTATCAATACCCATTTGATTTTTAAAGAATAGTCACTGATTAATTGAGTCATAGACATTAAGTCACACTTGCAAAAACTGTGAAATAAGCAACATCTATAAAACTTTTCCTGCCCTAGGCCAACTGGAGACAGTCTGTGTCCACTAGAATTGAGACAAGTAAGAGTGGGAGTAGTGTCATATGTCAAATACATGAAACACGTTATCTCTGAGACTCTCCCTCTTGTTTTCCCACCTACCATATGTCAACCTCCCCATATTTACACTACCTCATCCATTTTCTTCCTACCTCACTTCTTCAACTCTTCTTTTTTCATACAGGTTTAATCCTATCTCATACAATTTTTTTCTTTTAGAAAAAAATATATAAATTTAATTATTCATATCCAGGGTCTAAATAGAAGGAAAGTGGTGTATTTCACAGATGCTTCAAAAGTTTAAAGATACATTAGCTCTAAGTTAATTGATTTTAATCCAGGCAGTCTGATGTCTGAGGTCATATTTGCAACAGATTCCGTGTCTATAATCTGTACTTTTAAATGAATTTTTATAAATAATTCCTAGGACTTTAATTAAGTTGGCAAACAATATGTTAAACAGATAGCTAATGTGGTAATTCAGTGTACTGTCATAATCAATTATCTATTCTGAGTATTCTAAAATGGTGACTTTAGAAAAAGCCCCAAATTTTGTAAAATTACTTAAACATTGGTGTTACATGAAGTTATTTGAAAATGCACAAAGTAATTTGTGCTCTTCTGAGTTATTTAGGAGATCTTCTTCAAACTTAGGAATGAACTACTCAGTCTCCTCATTACCATCTTCATGTCCTTGTTCCTCAATGTGTAAATGACAGGATTCAGAATGGGTGTAATCATAAAGTCCAAAATGGCAAGAAACTTATCCACTGGCACTGTAGGAAATGGCCACACATAAATAAAGAAGCATGGTCCAAAGAACAAAACTACCACAGTAATGTGAGCTGACAGAGTAGAAAAAGCCTTAGACAAACCACCTGCAGAGTGGTTCCATACAGTGACCAGGATGAAGACATAGGACATAATCAGTAAGCAGAAGGTACCCATGGAAATGAACCCACTGTTGATAGTAACCATGATTTCCATCCTGTAGGTGTCTGTGCAGGCAAGTTTGATAAACCTAGGGAGGTCACAGTAAAAGCTATCTATCTTATTAGGACCACAGAAAGGCAGGTGAACAACAAAAGCTAACTGAATCACTGAGTGAATGAGGCCAACAGCCCAAGCACCAGACAAAAGTAAAATGCACATCCGTGGGCTCATGACAGTCAGGTAGTGGAGGGGCTTACATATGGCCACGTATTGGTCCAAGGCCATGGCGATGAGCAACACCATCTCAACTCCACCCAGGACATGAAGAATAAATATCTGGATGATACACCCCTGGAAGGATATGGTTTTGTGCCCGGAGTACAGGTCAGAAATCATCTTAGGAACCGTTAAGGTAGAAAGACACAAATCAATGAATGAGAGGTTAGCTAAAAGGAAGTACATGGGGGAATGTAAATGAGGATCAAATGTCACTGTTAACACAACAAGGAGGTTTCCCAGAATAACTGTTACATAAAACACTACAGAGAAGGCAAGGAGCAAATGCTGCCCTGGTTTGGAGGTAGAAAGTCCCAGTAACACAAATTCAGACACTGGAGAGTAATTTGTTTTATTCATTATTTTATGTTACCTAAAAGGAACAAATAAAAATAATTAGAAAGGAATGCACCAGAGCTATTGAAACAAGCAGAGGTCATCGGGTTTCAAATTCTGATTAAAGAAACACTTTTGCTCTCGGTCACAAAAGTTCTTTGAAAAAGCCTACAATTGTTTATTCATTTAACAAATTGTCTTTGAGCAGCTACCTTGAAAACCTCCAATGTGCATGACACTGTGCCACATTCTAGGATACAATACACATCCTGGCTTTATGTAGTTTGTGATCTAGTTGTGAAGGTAGGCATTAAATAACTAATCATATAACTAGGTGATTATAATAGTGACAAGCTATCTGAAGAAAAGAACAAAGGGCTATGAGAACAGTAAGAGCTCACAGCAGTGTTATCTGTCCTGATCTGGAAGATGCTTGTGCTAAGACCTAAATAATGAACAGAAGTTGAATAAGTGAGGAGGAACAGGACAAATGAGCTACACAGAGGAAAAGCATGGGAAATACTCTGAACCATGAAGAAACAGAACAATTTGGAGGAAATGAAAGAAGCCTGGTAAGGGCTTGATCCACATAGAATCCTATAGGGCATGTATAGAACTTGGTCTCTACCTTGGAAGGGGTAGAAAGCCATTGAAGCCAAACAGTGAAATAATCATATTAGTGTCATAAAGTTTACAGTAGCTGCAAAGTGAAGACAGTAATAGAAGGATCCAGAGGGAAGGGAGAGACACCAATCAGGAGAACTGTATCAAATCAGCATAGAAAGGATGAATTTGTCAAGAAGTGATGTTGACACATTTACCAAACTTGACAAAAATAATATTGAATTCTTGACCTTACAACAGTAACTAAAACGAATTTTGAAATTGTACTTAAATAAAAAGAAAAGAAAAAAGAGCAGCAAATGCAGGCTTACTGTTAGATAATCCTTTGTGTGAGAAAAATCTTTCTAAGCATATCCCCACAAGTGCAAACAAATTACACAGGAAAAAACTGACACTTTCAGATTCAAAAATATAAATCTATATGAAGTTTTTAAAGTGGAAAAATAGTTATTAAATAATGATAAACCAAATTTAAAATGAATAAACACATAAAACTTGCACAAAGTAAGAAATCCAAATAGTTAACTTACAAAGTTAACTTATTACTAGTTAAATTCCCTAGCAATCAAAGAATTGTAAATAAAACAATATGGATTTGCTATTATGTTTGGAGAAAACTGTCAGAGTTAGAAATAAGTGAATCATATATCATGAGAGAGGCTGCAAGGAAACAAACTCACATATCCTGAAACTCAATACAACTTCTCCAGAACACAATTTCAAAATATAAACCAAATGTTTAAAATTTGCCTTAAGACTAAAACTTCCATCAGGTAATAACAAAAGATGAGCTAAAATATTTAGCTATTGGGCAAATGTTGTACAATTAATTATAGAAAGAAAATTGTAAACAACCGAAGTTCAAACAAAGAGGAATTAAATTATATAGTACATCCAACTGGGAAAGGCACTCAGACTTATATGAAGAAAAATATCATGAAAATGTTTATAATGAACATTTGGTTAAAAAGGGCAACTGACAAAAAAAAGTATAGAAAATAAGTTTTTTAAAAAATTAAGCCTAGAAAATAGAAATAAAGGATAAGCACAAATTTTTTATCTCTGGGTATATATAAACATTAGTTTGAACCATAGGAGATTGGTATTGCAATAGATCAAAAATAGTCAAATATCAATTTCACAGGATTCCACTAATATATTAATTCATTTTTTCCTTATAATATTTTCTAAACTACTTTCCCTTTTCACAATCAAGCATTATGGATGCTTATTCCATACCTGAATTGCATACCAAAGGTTACCCACTTGCACTGCCACCTCTGAGCTTTCCTCCAGGACCCACATCACTGACAACCACTCTTTCTGAGTCGTCTCTCCTCCCTGTGGCTTCCCCATAATGCTCAGGCTCCTACATGGGCACAGCCCTGCACTTCCCAGGCAGGAGAGCAGCATTCCTCGGTGGGAGCACCATATTCCATCCCAGCCAAGAGTAGACTTGAGGGGAACCAGGGCGGCAGGGACAGGCACCGTGAGGGTTAAGGACATGGAACAGGTACTGTAGCTGAAAGGAAATACTGCAGGGGTGATGCTAGGAGGCTCCACCACAAGGGCACTCGATGGAGAATTTTATAGCCAGTAATTGGGGAAAATAGAGCAGAATTGAACCAGAGAGAATAGAACAATAACTAAGGTGAATGACAATGGATGTGACTTGCAAAGAGCTGCCAACCGTTTTTATATATTGACCATGTAATGTGTGGATTTTAACAGATGCATATTCTGAAATGCAGAATACACATTCAGTAAGATCACGATTACAGAAGATGAACAAAGAATTGTTTTAAAGACACCGAGATAACACAGTAAAAGAAAATTACTAAACATTTTCTCTGAGGAATGAAAATAATTGGGTAATTTTGTTGCTTCTCCTTTTTAAATTTTCTAAAATTCAGGATTCTTAATTTAATATCAGTTGACTTCCATTGATACAGTTCAAAGGGAGAAAAGAACCAATATCACCATGAAGTAAGAATATAGATGATTTCTGGGAAAATAGGATAGGATACGAACTCCAGTGTGGGAGTTCTGATCTAAAAAATAGGAAACAACACAAACAAGTAACTGACAACGGAAAAATTCAAATGACAGCTAAACTCATTTGAATATGGTCAACCGCACCAACTATTAAGAAAATGCGATTTTAAAAAACAGCTTTTTTTCTTTCAAATAGATTGGCAAAGAAAACAACAACAACAACAAAACCCTGAGAGATTAATTCCCATGTGTTCAAAGGATTCCTTATGATAGGAAATCCTCTGCATGATTGATTAGAATGAGAATTAGTAATATTTGTTAGTATCTTAAATTAAAAATTTTTAATCTTCAGATCTAGACAAAGAGAGCTTGAGAAGGTTAAATTCCTGGAGAAGTATCATAATTAAAAGGAAAACACCACAGCTTAATTACAGTGTTGATACATATATTCATATGATTAGTTCATTATTATTCAACAGCACTGACCAAAGAATTATAAGTAACCAAAATATAAACTAACAAAGAATCTTTTAATTATAATGCAGCTATATGATGAAATACTATGTAGCTATTAAAAACAATGGTATAGCTCTACATAACAGAGACCTATACTGAAAAATCATGCATAAGAGTCAATAATATGATTCCATATATGCACATAAAAATATCTTAAATGCCTACCTTTTAAGAATTATTAGTATAGTAAAATATGATTGGTTATACATGACTTTAACTTCTTTAAATCATTATATATTTCTGCATTTTAGATAGCTTTTGTTAATAAAAAATACGTATTTTTCAAAATACAAAAGTGAAAATCAAGAGGCATAGTATGTTAAGTGAAGAAATACAACTTAAATGTTTGGAAAAAATGAAATGAAACTTTACTAATAGGAATCAACTCTTTCTCATCAAAAATCAAAACTATCAGTATGGCAAAATTCTCAGCAAGGGATTCACCTTGAGGTGAAGCCTTTATCATTTCATATTTTTAGCACTGTCTTTTCCTATAGGTATTTGTGTGAGTAAATTGATACATATCTTGATTAACAATGGAGATGATAAAGAAAGTAGCACAGAAGAAAAAAAAAGAGAGAAATAGAAGAAACAATTGAGAGAATAAAAGAAAAAAGAAAAGTGAGAGTCATCTGATTGATTACAGTCCCACTTAAACATCCTTCAATAACTTTTACTCCATCACAAAAATCAAGAATCCATATAGGTGATCTAGCTTTATTCTATCCCCAGCCTCATATCTATTTTTTCTTGCTGCTCTTTTTTTACATAGTATTTATTGAAGTATAGTTGATACACAATATTACATTGGTGTCAAGAATACAACATGGTGATTCATCAGTCATATGCATTGTTAAACCCTCACCCCAACTAGTGTAGTTACTATCTGTCAACACAGAAAGATGTTACAGAACTATCGACTGTATTCTCTATTTCATACTTCCATCCCTGTGATGAATTTATACTAGAATTGAGATTTTGTGCCTCTTTATCCCCTATATCACTCACCTACCCCAACCCCTCCCCCATTGTAACCACCCCCAGCCTCATATTTTAATTATCCCCTACTACCACAAACTACTTTCCAATTTTCTTGAACTACTTGGATAATTCTGTTTTTGTTTGTTAATATTAGTTTGATTGATTGATTGATTGCTTTTCATGACTGAACTGATACGTGCACACTTTTTGGTTCTGATGACTACTTCTTACCTGTATGTACAATTCATGCAACACTTCCTCCAGGACAGCTTTCTCTTTCTTCCATAAAGGAATTGACTTCACTCCTTTATGTTTTCATGTCAAGTTGTGCAAGCTTAATGTTTGTAATTGACATTTAACTACCCTGTATGTCACTCCTACCACATCTGTGAGTTCTCTAAAGACAGAGAATATCTTATTAAAAAATTTTGACTAATAGTAAATGTTCAATAAATATTTATGAGTGCATGGATAAATGGGTGAATGGTCTTATGATAACAGTTGTTTAGTATGTAAAATGTCATCTTATATTTTCTATTTGGTCTGTAGAATAACTAATTACACTGTCAATCAAAAAACTGTTTAAAGCTTCTAGCAGGATGAATCGATCCCTCATACCCTTCCTGTCACTTTATCATAATCTAAGAAAGTGAATCCAACACGTTTAAGAGAGGTTCATTCAATGGAAGATGTGAATGCAGAATTTACTTTTGAAGCACACGTGTGGTGTATTTTATGTTAATTAGTTATGATTTAAAAATTTTGATGAGACACTTCAGCTAGCACCATTTCCCACAAAATAACACGCTTCAGTAAGATAGAAAAGATAGACCTAACAAGTGCGCAAGCCTATTGAAACTGCTGTGCTAAAGAGGCTGCCCAGGACAACAGAGTTTGGGATGCCCAGG